TATTAAGCCAACTATAAAATGTGAAGTTCATGTGAATACACTGCAACGCCTACAGGTCCCTCCCCTTTGACCTTCAAATTCTTGACAGTCTCAGAATTTAAAAAAAATGTCAATTTTATGCCAAATATCCAGTCCTAACATACAAATAATAGAAGGTGTACAGGCCTTAGCCCAATATATACATGTACGTGAAAACTTTAAAAATCTGACCTATATTTCAAACAACTCTTGGCAAATAATATAAAATTCAAACCAAATGGATATGATGGAAATTCACCAACTCTTCAATATGAGTCTAATCGATAGAGACTACAGAAGGTAATTCCTGAGTGCAAAAGTGCAGAGTGCCATTCTGGTATATGTGATTATGGGTTGAAATCCTTGCCACGTGTGCAAGTCCCCTTTTCATATAATACTATAAGTACAACATGTGTGTCTGTCTTGTTTGATCAGGCCTCCTGAGAGAATAGAGGTGACAGAACAGGTGGGAGAACTAGAATACACACTTAAATACACATGTTGCCTTACCTACAATCAGTGTTTTAATCTGGCTGTCTGAGCTGAGTGAGGGATACTATCCATTAAATACTGCAAAATATGTCCCTTCCATATATGTATAGGCCTTTACGGATATAGATTTTGCCCTTTCTTTGGGAATAAAATTAGTATCAAGATTACAATGAAAGAGTAAATTGGAATCCATAGGCCTAGTACATGTACATGTATATATATATATATACCTACAGGTGTAATTTTTAATAGGTCCTATTCAATACAATGATAGAAAGGGATTTAACATTCTCACAATAATTGGTCAGTGCATTATTCGATGAGGATGAAAACATTATCATCACATTATCTAAAGTATTTCTCCTATCATTGGTGGAGCCTTCTTCATGGGCTCAACTTTTCAATTAATTGGCAGGATAGGTAATAAACATGTATATAAAGGCAAGGAAATAGGCCAACGTAAAGTGACATTACTCCCTAAAAGCAAATTTCACTTTGAATACTAGTAGATTGGTTGTGACGACGCAAGCATGGATGCAAACAAAGCGATCATGACTCACGAATTGGAACGAAGCCACCCGCTCTTATCAGTAATCAATTAAAACACGGCAGCAAAGCAACATTATTAACATGTATACATTGCGACAGCCATGTGCGTAATAGCGTCCACTAACAGCCAGTCGTTACTTACAGACGGGGGAAGATCTTTGTTAACCGACAACCACATATGAATAGTCTCATTTTAGGGAAAATACTTTTATTCATTTATCTGTTGTCTCTCTTATCAATACACTAGATACATGTAGTTTGTTCAATTTTGTTGTATGTTATATCTCCATTCACAGGACAGGAAAATATTTTGGGTGTAATTAACAGATCACAAATAGACAATGAATGTGGTAAATTAAAGGCCATGTCATGAACAGAACTCTACAGTGGAAGATTTAATTTGCAATGCCCACAGAACTGCCCACAGAATTTAACCCAGATGTAAATATACATTAATTTAGCAACCAACAAGGTACATGTACAGAAACTTTCACATGATACATATACATTTATTAAAATGGTTCCCATTTGAACAATGGACATACATGTACATGTACAAAGATAGTTGTATTTGACTATTAAACATGTTTCCTTCACAGATATTTGATGATTTGAATTTCCTGGGGGTATTGCTATGACTGACTAAGAGGCTGACTGTTGTTGTGGCTTAAATCAGCGTGTCGCTCACAAGGTCTGTGCATTACTAGACAGGAAGAAGGAGTTACACTATGAACAGCAAAGGACAACTATAGACTCCCCACTGGCACCCATACATACATACATGTACATTATAGCCATGAGATAATAAGGAATCTAGCCATGGAGATCCATCATAGTCGGGTCAAATGTCACAGCATTCATAGAAATCTTCTGTGTATTCATCATGCATAATAAATGAATTGTACACTGTAACTTGTTACATTGTATATAATTACATGTATGATACATGTAGTATTATTTGGAGGGTTATGATGAAATAAGTATTTGAACTTTAATTTCCAGAGTGTTTAGAATAACAAAATCTTCATATCATGTAAAATATCCTAATTGTTGGTAATCAAAGCAACCCCCCCCCCCCCTCCATCCCCACTGAATGAGTCGTTTACAAATTGCTCCTACAATATTATGAATATCTATACAAAAAAGATCAATTTTCAATCACAAACTATAAAATTTGGTTGGTTAAAATACAGATTGCACAATGAATTTAACATCTGATAAAAGGGGAATATTTCTCCTTACAACATATCTTTTCAGTATGTGGCAGAACACAAAATAAATTACGCTTCATGTTATTTGATTTGAAAATAAGAACATTTTAGGCAGAGGGAAAAAAAATCAAATGGACTTCTTTTCTTTACTTAAAGATAAAGTTGAGTTCTGGTCATGCGATTGCATTGTGAAAGAGTAATTATAGCACTGAAGTACAGCAATGGTCTGGACACCACATGCCACATCTAGGGTCAGAATAGGTCAAATCTTAATTACAAATTAACACTCCATTGAATGCAGAATTCTCTATAGGAGATTCTTTGACAAAACACACACAGACAACACATCAAAACAAACAAAAAATCCTTGAAGGCACAGGCTTTAGAAATATATTGGACTTCAAAACTTTCCTAAGCAATTAATTGTAATTGATATTAAAATACAAAGAACTTCTGAGCTTCCTGGGTGGAATTTCACGTTACGCTAACTGGGTGGAATTTCAATTTGTAAAGAAGTTTACTGGGTGCAAGCCGAAAATTCTTTACAAATTATAACAATTTTTTTTAATTGTAAATGGAGTATGGATATTTTTAATAGATCAAAGTACTGATGCATGTGTAATTTGTGTATTACTGTAAGTCATTTTGAATTCAATTGCATTTTTCTGACTTTTACCTTTAGAGTTATATGGGTGACAAACTATTTTCATTTTTTTTTTCTTGCGAAAAGCAGAACATTTGAGATTAAAGGTTGCAGATGAGACTGGGAATAATATGACAAGATAGGGTGATCATACATGTAAATCTGTAAAGGTCCCAACAACATGATCAATACTAGTACAATTGATTATAAACTAATCTGGACAAGAATTCATTTTACATACAATGTGTTTATTGATGCTCAGTGATCTAAATCAGTTTCAAATGAAATCTGAGCTTTAAAAAAAATAATAATAAATTCATGTACACAATAGCATAGAATACCCTATTCAAACCTTGTTGCTTGTATCCATGGTAATGTGAGTCTTGTTGATTTAGAATTCCCTTAATTCAGGGTCAATGACAGATCAAACATATCATTAGCTGTCTGGGGATTACCTGAATATCATATGGCTGGAATATGAATGTGAATTCTATTCATCTGAAACTGCAGCATACTCAATAGGGGCATCAAAGAGATCAATTTGTATTTAGTGCACACATCAGTGACTAACTCTTTATGTAAGTACTAGATATGTACTCAAATATTAGTACCTCTCGAGAGTCGAGATGCAATCCAGTTCCTATATTTAAGTCTAATCTGCTCAAGATCTACATCAAAGCTAAATAATACCAGTAGGGGCTCTTAATTTGTTTTGAACTATTGGATCTCCAGTTCACAAGACCACTAACCTTAAACCGTGTGAACCTCCTTTCATGAAAGTAGGACTACTTCAAATATATTACATTCATCATTTAAAGGAAATCAATATAAATCAAATATTATTTTTGAAAATATTTTTACCATAATCTTAGAGGTGGAGGTGAGTTCTGGAAATGATATACAATGATACCTACATGTATGCTCTTTTGTATCGATGAAGAAAAACAAATCAAAATATTTCACATTGTTCTCAGATCTTGCATGAATTTCAAGCAAATAAATTCTAGCGTGAATCTTGTATTGGTCAATCAACCTCACTGAGAATATATACAGAGTCAAACCAGTATTCCAGGCCACACAGACACATACACACATCTATACACACTGGTGTATTATACATCCTCCAATACAAACATCTTAGAAGCACACTTCAATTTGAAGTTCAGACCAAATCTTCTGAACTCATGGAATTAATTTACCTACAGAATCCTCATAGTCTCATGACTATCCATACACACAAGTTAGCAATAGGAACGTCTTTCATCTTATGATACCACACTCTTTAATGAATGCTTTAAAGCCTGTCTGCACTAGTTTGGCCAGGGGATTAGACCTCCCTGCAAGGTCACTGACAGGTGGTTATCTCACCAAATCAGCTCTCAATTAAAATAAGAAAAAGGGGATCATGGGGGACCAACAGGCACTGGTTAGGCATTGATTGCTATATAGAGGGTGCAAGTAGCTATAAGTAGTAAAGTGGAGCTATAACAATTCAAAATCCACATTAAAGGTACTATGTCTCTTTTGCAGCCAACCTCAAATGCTGTAGAACTTTGCAGGAATTATGAATATGTCATGTATGTCCTATCTGTGAAATTTAAACGTTAGCAGTGTCCTCATATTCAAATTATGCAAGGAAACCCGTTTACTTGCTAGACTTCACTGTCAGACACTATTGAGTGACTGACTGGCTTTTTTTTCTTCTTTGGTAATAACATACATGAAAAGAGTTGTAAAGGGTACATGGGCATTTGTCTACATCAATAACCCACTTCTTGCGATGGCCAAGATTAAACTGATTGAATCTTTGCGCGGCATAAAACGTATGACCATTCGGTACAATTGTCTGAAAATCAAGACTATTACTTTTGGGCTTTATAGCCCTAAAGTCGATTTGACAACTAATAGTCGTTATTTTCCCACTTGAAGACATTTTCAAGCCCCAACTTTTTTAGGGAAGTTCTAAATTAGTATTATCTTTCAAATGCAGTTGGAATTTAACTTTTTAATTTTTTTGGCCTGCAAATGGGACATAGTACCTTTAACAAAAAAAATTCATACGATTGAACAAGCTTATAATGTCTTACCTCCATCTCCAGCAGCAGTCCTAGTCTTAGTCTTGGTCTTAGCAGGAGAAGCTTGGGGTGGTGCAGCAGCATGTACTACTGGTGCTTCCCTCTTCTGTACCTGCTCCTCTACAACCTATAAGGTAGTCAGATCATAGACATAATTATGCATGATTATCTCATTATCAGTCATGCAATACTATAAGAAATACAAAGTACAAGTTTAAAACATGTAACAAATACTCAAATAACCTTTCAGAATCCGGTTTCAACACATAAAGTTCAATGTACAAGCAGATAAACCAAACTGAGTGACTTGTGACTGCTATGCATATACATGCAGACCTGCCAACCTCTGGAGTTCAATAACTGTATTCTTTAATCCTCAAAGTTGTATTTTACTGACAAAAGTTGTATTCTTAAAAATAAACAAGGACTGTTACGCGGATCAATGCCTCTTACAGTTCCTACATACATGTGCAGGCAGAATTTTTTCATGGATAATGGTTGATATGCATGAGCCAATGAACATCCCCTCATTGCCAATGTGAGATACTTATAGGATACTTTAAAGGATAGAATGGGCATTTTGCCATTGAAAATGGCACACACAAAATACCACCAAAAAAAAATTGTATTATATTGAGGAAAATCGTAATGTCATATTTGCTTCTAAAAATCGTACAAAATATGACTAAATAATACTGGTTACAAGTCTGTACATTTAATCCTGCAGTGAACAAGTCATATTCCAGATTCCTCATCTAATAACAGTGAGATGAGGCATCCACATGTCATGCATATTTATCTAAAATACGACCATTTCAAATACTTGTTATGCAACATTAACTGTACCTTTGGTGGCTTGCTCTTGGTCGTATGAGTCTCCTTTGGAGGAGCGACAGTTTCCTGAACTGGTGCAGGCTTGGCCTCAAAGATGATCTCTTCAACCGGTGCCTGCTTGGGAGGCTTAGGTTGCTTAGGTTTCTTGGCTGGCTTTACCTTAAAAACATTGATGAAGAAATGTGGCAATATATTTACATGTACATGTAGTTTGCTGTGCAAGCAAATATAGTTTTAGATGCATTTGTAATTACAAAACTAAAAATTGGTTCTGAAAATTCTTTTATATCTCCTGTTATTGGGTGCTTTCAAAAGTAAGTGAAACTCTTATCAATATATAGCAATCATCACTCTCTCTTGATTTGAATTACGATTCCTTGTCGATATTATGAACCGACAACTCTTAGCAGTAATGGATTTGTTGGTTCATGGTAACCCCAACAACACTTGGAACATACTAAGGTGTCTATGAAATCGGTGATTGGACTGTTTGGTATCAAAGTTTTACCGAATCAGAGATGTTCTCTTTCAAATTTTCCAACTAGCAAGGCTCAAATTAATTTTTTGTCCACGGGGGCTCTTCCAAAAAAAAAAGAGCCCCCGTGAGCTCTCTCACGGGGGCTCTTTTAGTACCGACGGGGGCTCTTTTTTTAATACAAATTTTCATTGAATTGGTACCCATGAAACTCCTAAATTCCTTGGTATTTTATCATTATCATTTATTTAAGTCGGCATTTTCCCTCTTAGAAATGTACTTGTTACATAGCTGTTATTGACTTTTATCTCCGTAATGACATTCTCTCCATTTCTTCCCCTCTGCACATAATGTCCTCCTCATTATTTGGAGCAACCTTATTTACATTCTTTCTTTACTTTTGGTTTTTACCATATCCTTCCAAAACACAGGGGCAGATCTAGCTTTTTGCTAAGGATGGGGGGGGGTAACCCAGATACGATGTGGAGCATCGTCCACGAGCCGCGTAGCGGCGAGGCGATTTTTGTTGTTGCTATTTTGAACTCCCGTAATTGATGTGTTCCTGGCATCTACTAACATGCGGAGCATCGTCGACGAGCCGCAAAGCGGCGAGGCGATTTTTTGGCGCTATTTTGAACCCCCGTTAGTGATGTTTTCCTGGCATCTACTAACATGCGGAGCATCGTCGACGAGCCGCAAAGCGGCGAGGCGATTTTTTGGCGCTATTTTGAACCCCCGTTAGTGATGTTTTCCTGGCATCTACTGACATCTACTAATACTGTGTAGGTCTGGACACAATGACACATGATAGCATTTTTCTATGCACAACACATTTTCACTCGGCAGCCCAAGGGGGAGGGGGGGGGGTGGTTAAACCCCTAAACCGCCTAAATCCGCCCCTGCAACATCTTTGGTGATCTTCTTCTCAATATTGATTTACTGGTCAAGTTACATTATTTGCTGATCTTTTAGAATAACCAGATTTCAGAGGATTCACACTTTTCACAACGAAAAATTTCTCCATGTTTCAGTCCTTGCGCGATCGTCTCCAGCTCCAGCATATATTGGGCGTCAGGCAGCGTGCACACCGGTACTACCGGCGCAGTATAGCCATTGCTGACGGCCGCACTACAGCTGCACTGCGAGCTCTGTTGTTTGTATCGGTAATACTCATAGAGATGGGAGAGAAAGCGCCATCTAATTAGTTCCATTTTATTGGTTTAAGGTTTGAAAATTGATACTCAATATTGTGTTAAAGTTATATCAGAAAAGATAATCTTTATTTTATAATTCCACGGGGGCGATTTTTAATTTTGCAATCGCCCTCGTGAACCATCTGACGGGGGCGATTGTGGGGCTCACGGGGGCGAATCGCCCACCGCCCCCGTGTATTTTGAGCGTTGCCAACTAGTAACTAAATTCTGATTATACATTGATGTAAGCATTTACCTTCTCTTCCTTCACAGGTGGTGGAGATGGAGGTGCCTGTTCCACTTCTTCTACATAAGGATCAATGGCCTGTGCCACTTCCTGACGTAGAATTCCTGGAGAGCTATCATGCTTTTCCCGCTCGCGTTTCTTTTTCTCAAAGAACTGCTTGCGCTTCTGACGCTTGCCTTCTCTCTGCTGTACCTGCTCCTTCTCTAGTCGAGCCCGTTGCTCAGCAACAGCTTGCTCATAAGATTTCTCCTGGATTCCAAAGGCGGAGAAAAGATAGACCACAAAGGAGAGTGCCACAAAGCCCCCAAACACAACCAGGGCCAGGGTCTGAGGTTCATACAGATCGACAACCATGATGATCACTGTTTTTGAAATAACAGAAACAGAACAACAATTATAACAATAATTACACAATAACACAACAGACTGTTGCTAAATGTCCAGAATGATAACATTCTAATCATTCCAAAAAACAAAGAAAGCAAATTACAAATAGGTCAAAGTTGCACTTTTACAATTAACATATAATGTCATAATGTACAACCAGACACTTTCAAGACTAGTTTGACAAATATACCTTTGACAAATTTTCCTAAGACGAATGCACGCTAGCTAAAAACCAGTGTGGCGACACTGTCCATGTGTTGTACACTACAATGAATCACTACTTTTATAAAGTCATCAAGTTGGCAATGCGCAATTAGCCTTTTCATATATTGCCATTTTATGTGATTCTGGTCGGCGCGATCAAAAACATATGCACTAAATTACCAGTCCAAGATACCCTGTGGTGATGAGTGGTGATGAGTGTTGACCTTGTCAGGAGCATGAGCACAGGGGAAAAAGATTTTTCAGGGGGTTTTAAAATGGTGTACAGTATTTACTATGTTTGAAAGGTGGGGGAAAACCCAGGCATCATAAACCAGAACGTACAGCATTTACTCTTCTAGGGCATTTTACAGGCTACTATTTAGGTAGACCGAATTTTTCTGTCTCTTTCGTTCGTTAGCCTCTGATTTGGGTAGGTCGGCTCTCTCTTTAGAGACAGAACAGCCCCATACGCTGTAGTGGCCGCGCGTTTGTACTAAGAAACGTTACACAAAACTTGGCCAAACTTAATCCCTAATTTTGATATTTTACCGGATGCGTATCCGATGCATTTAAAGTCCTAAATTAGCTAAATACTTGACTACTTCGGTTCCACTTACCAACTTGACTGGAATAATCCGTTTAATGGTCCATTTTTAGGAAATTATGGGTCAAGATCGACATCCATGAAGAAAATCTTGCAGCCGAGTCTCATTCTTTCTAGTCTACGCCGAAGGCAAAATGATTATAACGGAAAAACTGTGCACGAGCTACGAGTTCGTAATGACATGCACAGTTTTTCCGTTATAATCATTTTGCCTTCGGCGTAGACTAGAAAGAATGAGACTCGGCTGCAAGATTTTCTTCATGGATGTCGATCTTGACCCATAATTTCCTAAAAATGGACCATTAAACGGATTATTCCAGTCAAGTTGGTAAGTGGAACCGAAGTAGTTAAGTATTTAGCTAATTTAGGACTTTAAATGCATCGGATACGCATCCGGTAAAATATCAAAATTAGGGATTAAGTTTGGCCAAGTTTTGTGTAACGTTTCTTAGTACAAACGCGCGGCCACTACAGCGTATGGGGCTGTTCTGTCTCTAAAGAGAGAGCCGACCTACCCAAATCAGAGGCTAACGAACGAAAGAGACTGAAAAATTCGGTCTACTATTTAGGTAGACTGAAAGATTCAGTCTCTGATACCGACCGTTGTTCCGCTGAGATTACATCTGGCTCAACTGGCCGCCTTTAGATCTATGTCAGTTTTATTAAAATATGACCCATACATGTACCAGACCAGGTTATTTCTGTCTACTAATTTAGTAATTAGGATGACATATTTTATCTGACAGTAAACATTTAACATATAGAGTCCAGGGAATAATTTTCCTGGTATCGCATCGCAATTTGCTATGCATTTTAGCATGACTGCTATACAAAATATCTTTTGTGTAGCAGTTTTCTTCCATAGAAATGTACAGAATTTCATTTGAAATATTTATCCATCGGCTGAAATTGCTAATCAAAAAATTTGAGGAAAATTATTCCCTGAGAGTCTAGACTAAATAAGAACGCTGAATGCCTAGAAATGCACTCAATGAAAACCAAAGCAAAGGGCCAGGAGTACTTTGTCAGAATTTATAATACAATTGATAGATTTCCGATTTAAATTTTCAAAGTATTTTTTTCCATCATTGTTGAGTTGAATTTATTGTATTTTAGAGGGTGTCTTGATGTGTTTATTTTCCTTCACAAAAATGACAAAGTATAGTGAAAATGCTGCTATGATTAAGAGTAATTCTCATTGAGCCAAGCCAAACTGCACTTCCAAGTCAACTCAAGCCTCGCCCGCCTGGCCTTAGCAAACATATCGCAGAGCTAGAGTCGCTCGCCGACGGAGCGGCGACGGGCACCAACTCTCTGTACTGTACGTTGGGCTACGCCTACTTCTCCGTCGGCCGTCGTGTGCGAGACGAAGTTGTGTCCACGTCCACGTCCATGATCTTCCCGTGCGACGTACTCGAGCTTTGAACACTGGCAGTGGTACCCCACTGACGGACGGATTGATTTCAGTGATTGTGCATGTGAAGAACAGGTTTCAAAATTGAATGTTTGTAATACAAAATAACTTACCAACAAAAGGAAAACGGTGTCAAAAAGATCGGTAAAAGTAGGAAGCAGTCAATTCAGTAATCAATCCTCCATGAGAATGTTGAGGAATCGGCTGACAAATGCTAGATGTATTCTTTCACTGCAGTGGCTTTACCAATGTCCCCATTCATTGACGTATACAGAATTGAGACCCGGAAGAGTTCGTCGATGTGAAAGCCCAGTTGATTGGTCAATATACAAGTTTGGGTAGTATTTGGACGAATGATAGCGAATATGATAAAATGTGGCCACAGGGTTGCCTGAACCTCCCTCTGTAATTTAAAGAAAATAGTCATAAATATACCTCCATTTATTATTTTTTGTTTAATTATTTCATGTAAAACTAAGGAAATCAACAAATTTAATATAAAGTTCCAAGATATTTCATTTATTTTGAAAAAGGGTCTAGTTTTACGTGTTATTTCAAAAGAAGATTGATAAATGATTGATAAATGGAAGCGCCAACTGCCAACATGGCACTTGCGATTGCATGCGTGGAAAAAGAAGGGGGCGCGGTGTAAGAAATGTTTTGGTCTGACTCTGAGGATTTATTTCATGCACTGCTCTTGTATATTTTCTTCAATTTCTACCGTCGAAATTATTGTTTTTTTATGAATTGTTTAATGGTTACTTTCTCATGTATTACGTACTACTTGTTGTTGATTATTGGTATATGATTCACAAACACTTATTATATTAAGTGCATCACTGTTATTTTTTTTAATCTGTTTTAATTATTATATGTATTGTAAATAAAGTTTTACTTTCAAAAGTCAAAAAAGTCTTCTTCTTCTTCCTCTTTTTCTTCTTCTAGGCTTCTTCTTCTTCTTCTTCTTCTTCTTCTTCTTCTTAAGTTCTTCTTCTTCTTCTTTTTGTTCTTCTCCTTCTTCTTCTTCTTCTTCTTCTTCTTCTTTTTCTTCTTCTTCTTCTTCTTTTTTTCTTCTTATTCATATTTCCCCCGGATGATTTTCCTCGTCCTCTTTCAGGCGGGGGGTGTTCGAGGCTCAATAAAAAGGGGGAGTGGAAGAAAAAGGAAAAGAAGACCCCCAAAATAAGGAGAAAAAAATAAAATAAAAAAGGAGAGAAAGATAAATTTTGAAGAAAAAAAAAGGGAATGAAAAAATTCCTTCAATTCTACTTTGATCACCCCTGCCATTTTTTGTAACTTCAAACAATGGCGTGGGTGGGGGGGGGGGGGGGGGAGGGGGCATCCGGAGGGGTGGATCCAGCCGGCGGCAGGGGAGGGACCAAAGAGTGTGCCGAATTCGTGAGAAAATATTTAGCGTCGAAACAGCCAGCCGGTGAATAAACGGGGGGAGGGGGGGGGGGGGGGTTGTGAGTACTCATTTTTGTTTTGCCCTCGAAAATTTTAAAATCGCAACCCCCCCCCCCCCCTCCCTCTTGAGCATCATAGGGAGGGGGCCGTCTACAAATAAAGGTAAAATTAATGTGTTTTACCTCCCAGGGGAGGGGGCCCGGCCCCCTGGATCCGCCACTGGGGGGGGGGGGGGGGGGGCATGTACGCACCCCTGATTGCACTTGAAGAAGGCGCTCGGTACTCGAGCATGAGAAAATGTTGTTGCTTAATAATAGCAGGATCTCGTTATTTCACGATCCGATCAAAAGCATACTATGACTGAATATTGTCTGTACTGGTTAAAGGAATAAACATGGGGGGGGGGGTAATTGTACATAAGAATCTAAATTTTCATCAGTTATATTATTATATTCGTCAGGCTTTGGTTAATTAATTGCGCCCCGATTCCTTAAACTTTTCAATGGCATATTTGCCGAGGTTCCACATTGAAAGGAACTCTCTGTAACTCGGTTTGATTTTATTTAATTATAATTAAAGCTCATCAAAGTTCCAAATTTAGAACTCTATATCGATTGCAAAGCTCCCTTGAGAATTTTCCCCAATGTAAAATGCATACAAAATTGTGTTATTTATACCACACACATGCAAACAAATTAAAGGAAAGGAATTTTGAACAATTTGGCCTACTTTGATGGGCGTGAGGGGATAGCAGGGGCGAATCCCGGATTTTCAAAAAAGTGGCAGTGCAAAGCTCGAATCCTATACGGCGTGCATGGGAGCCATTTTTTAACCTGAAGGTGCTCTACGGTACATTCTTCACCATTTCTGCTTCTTCTTTTTTTCCGTAAGGCAGCAAAAACAGAAATGATAGAAATACATAAGTGATAACTAAATGTACATAAAAATATATCGACATGTAAAATTACACATAGCATGAGCACTAAGAAAGGGTAAAAGGAGACAAAGGATGACAAAGGAAAAAGGACAGTAGATCGAGGCAGGGGCGTCGCTATACCTTTTTCAGGGGGGTGTAGAGGCCACCGATTACCAACAAAACTAGCCATCAAGTATACCGACAAATAATCCCAATGTCTACAAATCTAACCCTATAAACCCGGGGCCAGGAGCAATTTTTTTTGTCAGTTTCACCCTTTCTGCGCAAAGCGCGGAAACTTTGAAATTATTTTTAAATTAAGTTATTAGAGAAAGAAGACGATTCGTTGTACCGTTCTTTACTCTTAATTCTTGTCTGAATTCAGTTTCCACCTCCCTTGCGAAGCGCGGAAGCTCTGACGTTTCATTAAAGTATGAATTTTAATCCTTGTCTGAATTCAGTTTCCCCCCTCCCGCGCGAAGCGCGGAAGCTTTGACGTTTAGAGAAAGAAGACGATTCGTTGTACTGTTTTCGACTCTTAATCCTTGTCTGAATTCAGTTTTCCCCCTCCCTCGCGAAGCGCGGAAGCTTTGACGTTTCATTAAATTATTAGGGAAAGAAGAAGATTCGTTGTACTGTTTTCGTCTCTTAATCCATGTCTAAATTTAGTTTCCCCCTCCCGCGCAAAGCGCGGCTGCGCTGACGTTTCATTCAATTATTAGAGAAATAAGACGATTCGTTGTACTGTTTGCGACTCTTAATCCTTGTCTGAATTCAGTCCCCCCCCCCTCCCGTGCAAAGCGCGGAAGCTTTGACGTTTCATTAAATTAGCGAAAGAAGGCGATCATTCCCCCTCTCTCTCTTACTCCCAGCCTCTTCTCTTAGGCCCTTACCACCCTCTCTCTCTCTCGTCTCTTTCACCCCGTTTCTTTGTCATTTTTTTTTTTGGGGGGGGGGGAGAGAGGGGGGCGGCCTGGGCCCTTGACCCTGGCAAACAAATTATTAAAAAAAGATGGTAACCACAGTTTCACCCTCTTTTTTTCCATAGGGGGAGGGGGTGTTGAGCAACAACAAAAAGATTGTAATTTTAGTGCTCACTACCCCCTCCCCTGTTGGTCACACACACACACAAAGTTGACACGTTATTAGCCTATATAATTATGTTGAGTTAAAATCATTTGCAAATTTCAGGCTCCTCCCCCCCCCCCCCCCCCCCCCCCCCCCCCCCCCCATTGCAAAATCATGGTTCCGCCCACTGCCTGTCAAGACATTCAGAGTAAGCCAGTCAGTTCTTGAAGAAGAAGAAGGGGGAAAACCGAGACTCCTCCTAACTGCAGTTCTTAGAAATCTGAGTGGTGGAAAGTGTTCAAAAGCAGCCAAAAATAATATATTCGTTTGCAATTCGTTTGCAATATTATTGGACACAGTACACACTCTGATGCGAATTGTTTGCTGTGTCTTTGCCCAACAAAAATAATCATCATGGCGCCGTAATGCGTCCTAGTTTCTTATTATACACCTGTACACGCTTTATATTTTACATAAGATACGTCGATGACTCTGAGCAAGAGTCCTCATCTGAAAGCAATTACATTTCAAAATGTTTTAGCGATGGAGGTAGAAAAAATAAATTTGGATATTATGGACATGGAGGACGAGAGAGAGGGAGAGAGAGAGGGGGGGGGGAGAGGGGGGAGAGGGGGGGGGGACAGAGTGTCAAATAATATGAGGAGTGGGGAAGGGGGGCGAGACAAGTTAGAAAGAGATACGTCAGATTGTGGTATGACTACGATGGTAGTCGAAGCAGAAAACATTGTCTATGCATGTGCGTTTGAATGTAATTGAACCTCAAAGTAGTCTGTATTACATGATTTATGACAACCCCAACCCCCTCCCCCCCCCCCCCCCCCAGGCGCGCCGGAAGCAGTTTGGGATTGGGTGGGCAAACATTAGGGGCTCACCTTCCAGGGGCAGTGACGTAATGAGCAGAAGAAAAATCTGCATCACCACCACTCTTACACGTTACATGCAGGCCCCGCGGAAGTATTAACGATCAGGACGAGCGTAAATTGGCGTGGGGTCCAGGGCCTGAGCCCCGGCAGCTCAGGGTTTTTAGGCATTAAATAGCGGTCAGATAAGAATATTTAGATACCTTATTTGTGACACTGGCAGGTCACTCATTGGCGGAGAGTCCGGGGAGCAGAGCCCCCCCCCCCCGGAAGCTCAGGGGTTTTAGGTATTTAATTAAGGTTAGATGAGCATCCAGGGGCCCTCTTTAAGGCCATTGATGTGGTCCAGGGGGCAGAGCCCCGGAAGCTCAGAGGTTTTAATATTCAACTACGGTCAGATGAGCATCCAGGGGCCGCCTTATAGCCCTTGGTGGGTCCAGGGAGCAGAGCCCCCGGAAGCACAGGGGTTTTAAGTATTTAATTACGGTAAGATGAGCACCAGGGGGCCGCCTTAGGGCCCTTGGTGGGGTCCATGGGGCAGAGCCCCCGGAAGCTCAGGGGTCTTAGGTATTTAAATACGGTTGATATGAGCATCCAGGGGCCAGCTTAAGGGCCCTTGGTGGGGTCCAGGGGCAGCGCTCAAAATACACGGGGGCGGTGGGCGATTCGCCCCCGTGAGCTACATAATCGCCCCCGTCGGGTTGCTCACGGGGGCGATTGCAAAATTAAAAATCGCCCCCGTGGAATTATAGAATAAAGATTATCTTTTCTGTTATAACTTTAACACAATATTGAGTTTCAATTTTCAAATGAAATGGAACTTAGATTAGCGTGCAAGATTTCTTGTTTTATGAGTAGGCCTATTATTACCGATTCAGCTCACAGTGCAGTGCCGCCGTCAGCAGTGGTTATAGGCCTACTGCGCCCTTTATAGTAGCGGTACGTGTGCACGCTGCCGCGCTATGTCTGCTGGAGCTGGAGGCGATCGCGCAAGGGCAGAAACATGGTCATGGAGAAGTTTTTCGTTG